AGAGGGGGCTGGGGGTTCCAACCAGGGCACAGGGCCAGTGACTCTGGAAATGCCAGCAGGGCAGGAGGGGTCTCAGCCTCAGTGTCTGTCTGAGAAACACTGAGAAAAGGTGAACTGGTAAGTAAAGAGGAAATGGAGGGGACTATGAACCCCAACAGATTAAAGGCAGAAACACAACGGGGCAGCCCTTCTCATGGAAATGTTCTCCCAATATCCAGCCTGACCCTCCCCTGGCACAGCTGGAGGCCGTTCTCTCTCCTCCTGTCCTCCTGTCCACCCCCGGCTCCCCCCTCCTGTCAGGGACTTGCAGAGAGGGAGAAGGTCCCCCCTGAGCCTCCTTTTCTCCTGCCAGCTCCCTCAGCCACTCCTGGTGCTCCAGCCCCTTCCTCAGCTCCATTCCCTTCCCTGGACACGCTCCAGCTCCTCAATATCTTGTTGAGGGGCCCAAAATGACTCCAGGATTTGAGGTGGGGCCTCAGCAGCACCCGGCACAGGGGACAGGCACTGCCCTGGGCCTGCGCCCACACTGGTTCCTCCTGTGTTGGAGGGGCCGTATGGAGGTGAACAGTGTCACATCCCTCGGGCCCAGGACAGTGGGCATTGTTGCACTGGCAGGCAGAAAGCCATGGGAACAGTAAGCAAGAGAAGAAGACCTGGAAGAAAGAAGATACAAGACTGCAAGAAAGACCTTGGTTGCTAAAAACTGTAGTTAATTGTATCTCTTAAAACCTATGCTGAATTACGTAGTTTGAGAAAGTAAGCAAAAGTAGAAAATTACCAATTGTGACTTGAATTATCTATTGTTCTGCCCAGGGTATATAAGCTTATGCATCATTAAAATAAAGGTCTTAGTTTTGCACCAGAACGGAGTCTGGACCCCTCAGTCGCCACAGGGCCGGAGCCCCCAGCTCATCCCCCAGCCCATTGGGGACAGAGCTGCAGGAAGGGGCTGAGGCACCTTTGGGTGCTGCTGCCCAGGAGCCCCCAGGGCCACCTCACTGCCACTCGGGGAGCCCAGGCAGGGGAGGGGGGCCCCACCTCTGGAGCAGCAGCTCCAGAACCGGCCACTGCTTTATACCACTGATATTTTGAGAGAACATTGAAAAATCCAAGGGATTGGGAGCAGCCCCCAGCAGGATAACTCGAGGGCTCCGTGGTCCCTTGGCAGTGGATTTAAGGTGCACAATCTGCTCAGCTTCCCCAGGAAATTGAGGGGTGACTGGATGTACTTTCATGGGAATATTAAATGGCTCCTTAATCGAGGCTGGGAGGATGGAAAAGTCTCAACCTCTGGGAGCTGAAGCCAGACAAATCCACAGTGACAACCAGACACTGGATTTATCGGAGAGGGGATGAACCACTGGATAAACCCTCAAATCTGAGCAGCCACAACCCCTCTGATGGCGTGTTCGGGCTCATTCTGACATCGGGAAGGGATAAATCCCAGTTCTCCACCCGCACAGATCAGTCGTGGTTGAAATCTGCTGCTGCTCTCACATCCATCACTGCGACAGCCCCGGGATCCGCTCAGCAGCTCCAGGCTGACACAGCCTCACCTGTCCTTCCCACCCAGGCAGCTCCCATACAGGATCCTGGAAGGGAAGTCGTGACTTCCCTCCTGGGAGCCCCCCAACCCCCCGGATTCCCCCAGCAGGAAGGGGTGCTTGCACGCTGCTGCCTCCTGATTTTATCCTGGTTTGTGACTGGTTTCATACTGGGAGTCACTGGAATAACACTGGGAGCATCTGGAAAGGACTGAGATCATACTGGTAGTGACTGGAAGTGACTGGGATCATACTGGGAGTGACAGGAGCCCTACTATGGGTGACTAGGAGCAACTGAGACCATGCTGGGGGCAACTGGGACCACACTGAGGGCAACTGGGATCATACTGGGAGCAGCTAGGCCAATGCTAGGATAACACTGAGATCATACTGGAACTGACCGGAATCAGACTGGGAATTACTGGAATAATACTGGGAATATCTAGGAGAGACTGGGATCATACTGGGAGTGACTGGAAGTGACTGGAATCATGCAGGCAGTGACTGGAGCCCTACTGGAAGTGACTCGGTTCATACTGGGAGTGACTGGAGCCATAGTGGGGGTGACCAGGAGCAACCAGGAGCACGCTGGGCGCAGCTGACATTTGACTGGAAGTGACCGGGATCGTACTAGGAGTGCCTGAGCACAGCGAAGGGGCTGGGCTAAAATTCTCGGCGTCCCCCCGCCCGACGGGACCACAACTCCCGTCGTGCCCCGCGCGGCACAAACCCGCCATGGCGCCTGCCGGCGGGACTACAGCTCCCGGCGTGCCCCGCGCCCGAGCGCCCTGCCGTGGCGCAGGACTACACGTCCCGGCGCCCCCCGCGCCCAGCCGGAAGCGGCGCGATGGCGGCCCGAGTCCGGCCCGGTGCGGCCGCGGCCCCGGTTCCCCGCGGCCCCGCGGGCTGAGGCCGCGCCCGCCCGGAGCCCCCGCTCGGAGCGCCCTCCCGGCCCGGCCGCCGCCATGGCGCTGATCGAGGGCGTCGGCGACGAGGTGACGGTGCTGTTCGCGCTGCTGCTGGCGGCCGCGGTGCTGGGGCTCGCCTGGGCCTCCACGCGCGCCCCCGAGCCCGCGGCGCCGCCGCCCGAGGCGGGTCCGAGCGCGGCCCCCACCGAGCGCAAGGCCCCGGCCCCGGCCCCGTCCGCGGCCCCGGCCGAGGGAGCGGCGGCCCCCGATGAGGCGGCGGGGCTGCGGCACCGGGAGCCCCCCGCGGCCGCCCCCGAGGGCCCCGCCGAGCCCACGCTGGTGCTGCGGCTCAAGTTCCTGAACGACACCGAGCGCCTGGCGCGGGTGCGCCCCGGGGACACCGTCGGGGCGCTCAAGAGGTGAGGGGGGCGGGCAGCGCCGACGTGTCCCGGCCCGGGGCCCCCGGGAGGGGACAGCCGTGCCCGGGGCAGGTGGGCTTGTCCCGGGTGTCTGTGCCCGGCGCTGTGGCCGTGGGACAGCCCGTGCTGGCAGGTGAGCCCTGGGGCAGGTGATGGGGATGTGCGGGCACAGCTGTGCAGAGGGGCAGGGGTGGACAGAGGGAAGTGCCCTGGCAGCTGACAGCTGGAGGGACACAGGGGCACAAGTGTGCAGGGCAGGGTGGAGGTCACAGGGGGCACGTCCACAGGAGGATGGAGGGGACTGTGCTGGCGGGTGGCACTGGGGGTGAGTAATGGGGACATGGGCTCGGGTGTGCGGGTGGGGCGGGGGGTCCGAGTGGGCACAATGGCACAGGTGGAGAGGCCTGTCCTGCCAGCGGCGACACCCCTGTCCTCATCCCCTCCAGGACCTACTTCCCCGGGCAGGAGCAGCAGGTACGGCTGATCTACCAGGGGCAGCTGCTGCGTGACGACGCCCAGAGCCTGGCGGGGCTGCACTTGGGCCACCTGAGCGTCCTGCACTGCCACCTGTCCCCGCCCAGTGCCACCCCCACCGCACCCGGGCCCCCCGGACCCCGCGGCCCCGCGCCCGCCGCGCTGGGCGTGGGCAGCCTGGCGCTGCCACTCTTCGTGCTGCTGCTGGCCCTGCTCTGGTACCTGCAGCTGCAGCACCGCCACGTCTTCACCGCCACCGCCACCACCTGCCTGGCCGGGCTCACCCTGCTCGTCACCTTCGTGGCCTTCGCCATGTACCGCAGATAGCGCGGCCCAGACCCGCTCCCGGGGCCCCAGGCCACGCTCGGACACCTGGGGAGCCCCCCAGCCCACCTGGGGCTCTGCGTTCAGCTCACCCAGTACATCGGAACCAGAGGGGCCGGGCTCCGGACTGTGTCCCCCAGGGGCTGTAGGCCCAGGGGTCCCGGGAGGTCCCCTCACCTCGTGCTGGGGCTCCGGGGCCGGGGCTGTTGCAGGAGTGGAGGCTCAGCTACCTCTAGGGGGGTCCCGGTGCCCCCCGGCCCTGCAAGGAGTGTCCCACGGCCGCTCCACGGGTGGCTGTGCCCCCGGCGCTCCTTCCCGCGGGGGTATGGCCCAACCCCTCCCGGGGGCAGCTCCCGGGGGTCCCGGTGCGGGGGGGGACATGCTCCCTGCGGTGCTGGGAGTCCTGGTGCCGGCAGGATATGCTCCAGAGATCCCGAGGGTGCCAGGCGGAATGTGCTCCCGGGGTGCCGGGGGTCCCTGTGCCGGGGGAGCGCGCCCCCCGGGGGTCTCGGTGCCGGGCGGGATGTGCTCCCCACTGTCCCGAGGGTCCCGGTGCTGTGCTGGGGGATGCCGCCCCTCACCGCCGTAACAATTAAAGCGGAAGGACTGTGACCGGCCGCGGCGTCCCGGCTCTGCTGCGCCGTCGGGGAGCGGGGGGGAACGGGCGGGAAGGGGGTGACGGGGGACCGGGGGAGCCGGGACCGGGGGGCGGGGCCTGCACGTCCAGCCACGCGCTCCGCAGGACCGCAGAGCGCCTGCGCCGGCAGCCCCTTCGCGGCGCGCTCCCTCATTGGTTCGGGCTCAGGGGTGATTTGCATACGGCGCGCGCCGGCCCCGCCCCGGAAGGTTCGCGCGCGGGGCGGGGCCGCGAAGATGGCGGCGGGGCCGCGCTCCCGGTCCGCGTCCGGGGCCCCGCAGCGCTGAGCGGCGGGACCGAGCGGCCGCCAGCGCCATGTACGGACGGGACGGGTCTGGGGGGGAGCGGGGAGGCCCACCGGGGGGCCGCGGCGGGCCCGTCGCCGCCCGGGGGTCGGTGTGTGCCCGGGAGAGGAGAGAGGGCTGTGGGCCGGGGGACACCGGCTGGGCCGGGGATCTCGGGACCGCGGCGCTGGGCGGGACGGGGACCCGGGCAGGGCCGAGGTCCCGGTGCCAGGGGCTCGTGCGGGTGGAGGTCTCTGTGGATGGGGGGACCCTGACAGGTCGGGGGTCCCCGTGGGTGGGGCGGTCCCTGTGCCCCCGCCGGCCCCGGCCGTCCCGCAGCCCCCCCTCACTGCCCGCACCCCCGCTGTTCCGCAGGGTCCCCCGGAGCCGCGGAGCCCCCCGCGCCGCGCCGCCCCCGCCATGCTGTGCCCGCTGCTGTGCCCATGGCTGCGCGCTCTGACCCGGGCGGGCCCGCGGGGCCCGGCTGCCCGTGAGCGCCGCGGCGCCGCGATGTTCCCCGCCTGCTGCTGCGCCGGCAAGGCCAGGCCGCGGCTGCTGCTGCCCCTGGACCCCTACGGCCATGGGCTGCTGCCCCCCGTGCCCCCGGACGGCGGCCGGGGCCGGGCCCACGGCAAGAGGAAGAGCTGGAACTTCATCCACGAGAAGATGAGCTACGACACCTTCTTCACCATGAAGCGGCTGATCGAGCGCTCGCGCAGCGTGGGCGAGGTGCTGCGCTGGGTCACGCAGAACCCAGGCAAGGTGTCGGCCAGCCACTACCCCATCGCGCTGCACAAGCTGGGCCAGCTCCTGCAGCAGCAGCCGGGGCCGCCCGCGGGGGCCGGGGCTGGGCACGGGCCCGCGGGGCAGGTGCTGGAGCAACCCGAGTTTCACGCGCTGTGCCAGGCCATCGTCAGCGGCTGCGCCAAGTTCGACAACTTCAGCATCGTCAACTGCCTGTACGCGGCGGCTGCGCTGGGTGAGCCACCCGGGGCGGGACGGCACCGGGGCCTGGGGCCGGGTGGGTGTGTGGCACCTGGAGCTGTGCTCTTCGAGGGGCACGGGCTGCTCAGACCAGTTCTGCTCTGTTTGGGGGGCAGGAGGGCTGGATGCCCCTCAGGGAGGGCTCTGCTCAGGGGGCAGCACTGCCCTGGAGCACCCTGCTCTGAAGGTTCTGCTTGAGGGGCAGGAGAGCAGGGTGCCCCTGGCTGCCCCAGGAATCAGTGCTGGAGCCAGCGGGAGCCAGGACGCTGGGCAGCACTGCCTGGCCAGTGTGGATCAGCTGCTCCTGGAGCCCAGTTCCAGGCCCTGAAACACCTGAGCACTGAGGTTTCAGCCTTGACTGAACCCTTCCAGGGTACAAGCCCTATGTCACCTCTGCAGGGAAGAATGTTTGAGGTGTTTGGGTTCCTGTGCAGCTGCCTCTGGATGTTACAGAGCTGGGGCTGTGTCAGGGGTTCCCCCTTCACTGGGCACAGAAGACCCTGCACGTTCTCCTGTCACAAGAGGGGGATTGGGGTCTGTGTAAAAGAGAAGTGGGTAGGAGGGCCGGGGGGAATCCTGACCCACTCAGGTGAGACCTCACCTGCAGAACTACCTCCAGCTCCAGGGAACAACAGCAGGAGGACGTGGAGCTGCTGGAGAGAGTCCAGAGGAGGCCCCGGAGATGCTGCCAGGGCTGGAGCCCCTCTGCTCTGGAGCCAGGCTGGGAGAGCTGCGGGGGTTCCCCTGGAGAAGAGAAGGCTCCAGGGAGAGCTGAGAGCCCCTTGCAGGGCCTAAAGGGGCTCCAGGAGAGCTGGAGAGGGACCTGGGACAAGGGATGGAGGGACAGGACATGGGGGAATGTTTTCTCACTGCCAGAGGGCAGTGTTAGATGGCATACTGGGGAAGGAATTCCTGGCTGGGAGGGTGGGGAGGCCCTGGCACAGGCTGCCCAGAGAAGCTGTGGCTGCCCCTGGATCCCTGGAAGTGTTCAGGGCCAGGCTGGACGGGGCTTGGAGCAACCTGGGCTAGTGGAAGGTGTCCCTGCCCGTGGCAGGGAGTGGAACAGGATGATCTTCAAGATCCCTTCCAACCCAAGCCATTACAGAATTCCATGATCTGGCGGGTGCCTGCCCGTCCGTCTGCGGCTCCCCCCAGCCGTTCTCATTCGGTCCCCAGCAGCCCCCCCGGGCCGGGGCTTGGCGGAGCTGCCGCAGTAACTCGAGCCCCTGGCGGGGGAGGGGGCCGGTGCTTTTCTCCCCCCTCGAGCCGGCAGCGCCGGGTGTTTGTTGACGCTGAGCCGGGGCTGCCCTTGCCGAGACCCCCGCGCTGGGCCGCCCAGCTCTGCTGTTCCCCCCACTTGGTTCTCGCCCCTCATTAACACAAACTCCAAGCCCCTTTTGAGGCCTTTTTACAGAACAAAGCAGCTGCTCAGACCAATTCTGCACATTCCCCCTCCTGAGTTGTGGTTAACGATAACCCACAGTGACTCGCCCTGTACTGCCCGTGCCAGCTCAGCCTCGGGGGGGACGGGGGGCTCTGGGGCCTCCCAGCACTCTGTGCCTCTGCTGAGGAGATCCCTCCTGACAGCCGAGGGCTGGATAACACTCCCAAGCTGCAGGGAAGTGTTTCCCTGGGAGCCAGGTCGGACAGGCTAAAGCTGAGCCGGGAAATGGGAGAAGGTCAGAAAAGCCAAAGGATTAGTCTCTGCCGGAACAAACAGGGTTTAGTCTGGTCACGTGAGAAGTCTCAGTTGTTTTCCAACCACAACTTTTTTTAAAGAACTTTTTGAGGTGAATTTTTTGGTTGCCCAGAGTAGCTGTGGCTGCCCCAGCCCTGGAATTGTTCAGGGCCGGGTTGGACAGGGCTTGAAGCAACCTGGTCTTGTGGAAGGTGTCCCTGCCCTTGGCAGAGTGAGGAACTGGATGGGATTTAAGATCCCTTCCAACTCAAACCATTCTGGAATTTTGGGATTCTATGAATTATTTGTCCTGAAGATGTTTGAGACTTAGGAAATGAACCTCTCTCATGCGGGTGAGCCGCAGGGCTCCCATTCCGGTGGGGTGGGTGGGAACGACCCCATAGCTCCACGTGGTGTTTTCCATGGTGCGGGTGTGCTGATGTTCCAGCCAGGCTTTGCCTTCCCTTCCCCTTCTGCTACTTGGTTTGGTCACTGACGCGGCACATCCGTCCTGCCCCGGTGGTGGCCTCGTGCCTGAGCTCCGGAGGCGGTTGTGCTGTGGGGCTGAGGTGTGAACTGAGCTGTCTGTGGCGCTGATCCATGCCCAGTGTCTGACCCGTGCCCGTGCCCCTGCAGGGCTGCCCGGGGAGTCGCCGCTCGTGCGGGTGCTGGAGGACGAGTCCCGCAGCCGCCTGGGCCGCTTCAACCAGAAGGACGTGTCGATGGTGTTCAGCAGCGTGATGCGGCTGCACCCCTCCAGCCCACACCCCCTGGTCGAGTCCTGCCTCAGCAGCCTGGAGCGGCACCTGGAGAAGGAGCGGCACCCGCAGACCCTCTTCCTGCTCCTCTCCTACTACCGCCTGCGGGCGCAGGCGCTGCAGGGCCACGCGGCCTCCGACCAGCAGCTCATCAACAACCGCAAGATCCTGCGGCTGGTGCGGCACACGCTGGGCCAGGTGAGCGCCATGCGGGAGCACGAGCTGGCGCTGCTGGACGAGATGCTGGCCCTGTGCGCCCAGGAGGCCAACAACAAGGCCCTGGAGGCCATCTTCAGCTCCCAACTCTTCTACGAGAACCGGCAGGAGCGCTTCATCCGCAGCATGGCAGGTGAGGGGTGCCCGGGTGGGCTCCCAAAATTGCTGCTGCCCGCACAGGGGACACAGGGCTCTGGCTGAGCGGGGGACATGGAGGGCTCTGGCTCTGCAGCCTTGCCTTCCTGGGCCCCGGGGACGTTGGGGTGGTGAAATCCCTGGCTGGGGCCCTGCTGGGCTCCGGGGGTGGAGCAGGAGGAGGTGTCATGGCCACTCTGTCACCAACTGCCCAGCCCAGCCCTTCCAGAGGGGTGGGACCCCCCATTTCTCCAGGGTCTGGTTTCCCACCGTGCCTCCAGGCTGGGTACAGTGGAATTTCAGTGGGATTTTACAGAAGGGCTCCACCCTGTGCATGCTCCTGCTGTGCTCCAGCTGTGCTTTGGCTGTTCATGACAGGAATCTGCCTGAGCCTCTCACTTGGCCCATACCTGAGGGTTTTTGGGAGCTGTCTGGGTTTTGGGAGGGCTGGTGCTGCTGTCCGGTCCTGTTCCCCTTGCCTGCCCTGGGCCTGTGGTGGGGGCAGAGGCAGCCCCGTGACAGTGCCCCCGCTGTGTTGGCAGAGTGGCTGCCCCGGAAGGCGGAGAACCTGACCCCCTACACCATGGCCCTCATCGCCAAGTACGTGGCGCGGCACCGGCTGCGCGAGCCGCGGCTGCTCGACACCATCGCCAACTTCCTACTGAAGCGCGGGGAGCAGCTGGACAGCAAGGTGAGCTCCTCGCTGGGCACACCTGGGCTGGGGGAGCCGGGGCCCTTCTCCCCAGCACAGTGGGGTGTCCCAGGGAATCAGGGGTCATGCCCTGACCCTGGCAGGCTCTGAGCTGCCATCTCTGCCCAGCGCTGGGCAGGTGGCCCCGGCCTGTCCCTTGTACCTCCCCAACCCCATGCCCTCTCCTCCTGCCACAGGTGATCCAGAAGCTGGTGTTCCCCTTCAGCCGGATGAACTACCGCCCCTCCAACCATGGGGAGCTCTTCCCCAAGCTGGAGGCCATCCTGGAGCAGAAGGCTGGCAGCTCACCGCTGGCCACCGTCAACATCCTCATGTCCATGTTCCAGCTCAGCCACTTCCCCCAGACCGTCCTGCACCAGGTCTTCTCCCCAGCCTTCATCACCAACGTCATGAGTACGTGGGGCCTTTGCTGGGGGCTCACAGCTGGCAGAGGGCTGGGGCGGGGATGGGTGGGGGGTGCCCGTCCTGGTGGGCTCCATCCTGCTCCCCCCCAGGCAGCCCCTACGCGCTGATCGTGCGCCGGTACCTGTCGCTGCTGGACGCGGCGGTGGAGCTGGAGTTCCGGGAGTACAGCGGCCCCCGGCTCGACCCGCGGTACCGCGTCCTCATGTTCGAGCACGCCCTGACCGCTGACGAGGCCAACAGGAAGTACAGGTGAGGGGGCAGTGCCCCTCCACCGGTCCTCTCTGGGGACGGGGGTCTGTGACCTGCCCCAGCAGGATCACAGATGGTGCCGGGGGAAAGGCCCCGCGGCAGCTCTGAGGCCTGTGGGGGAGCAGTGTAGAATCACAGGATCATTTTGAATTGTAGAGTTGTTTGGGTTGGAAAAGGCCTCTGAGAACCCTGAGCCCACCCATCCTCCAGCACTGCCAAGGCCACCGCTGACGTGTCCCCAAGTGCAACATCCACACAGCTGTTAAATCCCTCCAGAGCTGGGGACTCTCCTCTGCCCTGGGCAGTGGTGCCAGGCCTGGGGAGCCCTTTTGGAGGCCTGTAGTGTTGTGATTTCTGGAGGGGCTTTTCTGCAGAAGAAGCCAGGGCCTGGCCCCTCTCACCCCCAACAACAGAGCCTAAAGCTCCTGTTCTTTCCTTCCTGCTCCCGGGGGTTCCTGTCTCTGCGTGGATGTGCTTGGCAGGAGGATGTGTCAGCTGTGTGTGGGGACACAGCCCCCACAGTGCCCCCCTGACTATCCCCTCTTCTCACAGCTACAAGGGGCTGGTGGCCGAGGCACTGCGGCAGCTGGTGGGGGAGGAGTGCTACCGACAGGACGAGGTGCTGCCCCCGGGGTACTGCACAGGTAACCCCCTGGGCCCTGGGGAGGGGGCTGCCAGCTGGGGGGGGGTGTCAGGGCCTGATCTGGGAGGTTATTTAGGGCAGAACAAGTCCTGGCTGTTTCTGTCACCCCCTTCCCTGTATTGCTGCCTTCTGTGACGCTTTGGGAGGAAGCTCCTTGAGTCCTCCTGGCACAGGAAGGGGGGTTTTCCTGTGCCTCTGTTCCCTGGCACAGAGTCCCAGCTGGGCCACAGGGACCCTGAGCCCGTGTTCCATAAGTCAGGGGTTCCCAAAGCCTCACTGATCCCTGTTGCCTCTCCACAGATTTCCTGCTGTGGATAAACCGTTCGGGCACAGTGCTGCCTCTCTCCCGCGTTCCGGCGGCTTCCAAGGCTCCCCCGGCCACGTCCCCTGCCGCCATGTCCCTGCGCTCCAGCGTCCTAGCCCTCACCTCGGACTTGCAGGACTTTGCCCCATTTGCTCCAGAGACGCCCAGCAGCCCCCCAGGCCCCCGGGAGAGCGGCCGGGCCGGGCGGTTCCTGCCCGCGCTCTGCCCGGCCCTGGGGGGCCCCTGCTTCCAGCCCCCCTCGGACTATTACTGTGGGCTGAGCAAGGAGCCATCCCTGGGCAGCCCGGGCAGCTCCACACTCAGCAGCCCCTCCGAGTGCCTCTCGGCTCCACCGCCGGGCACCCCCGACTGCTCCCCCCGCGCCTCCGCCGCCTCCCTCTTCCAGTTCCCCATCGGCAAGATCCTGGAGGAGGAGGAGGAGGCCGCCGGCCGCCCTGGCCACGAGCACGGCTGCTTCCAGGGGGAGCAGGCCCAGGAGGACCCCGAGGAGCGGAGCCCCCCCGCCAGTGATGATGCCGGCCCCCCGCCCTCGCCGTGCCGGCCCAGCCCCAAGCGGGGCCCGGGCGAGGGGCCACAGGGCACCGAGGAGATCCAGAGGTACAGAGCGGGGCCCTGTGCCCGGTCCCTTCTGGCACTGCCACCCTGGCACTGCCTTCAGCTCCTGCCCTCTGCGGCAGTTGGCCCCAGCACTGTGGGGCACCTACAGACCCCCGTCCCCACCACCCCGGGGTGCTGGGAACAGCTGGCCCTGCCACCAGCAGGGTCTATGGGGGCTTGGAGTGCTGCCCTTCGTCTGTCGTGGTTCTGAGGAGCAGGATCTGTGGGGTGGGGTGGCGCTGGGACGTGGGGTGATGCTGTGATGTGGGGTGACACCGCCATCCCTACTGTCCCCTGTGCAGGGTGGTGCTGTCAGTTAATGACAAGTGGCACTACTGCCAGAACTCCGACATCCTGGTGGGATCCCGCGCCATGAGGGACCGGCACCTGCGGCTGCTGGGATACTGTCTGGTGCAGGTAAGCGCTGGGGCCGTGGGGTACGGTGGGTGTTGGGCTGAGAGCTCAGAGCTGGCATCTGATGGGCCTGGAGTTGGGAGCTGGCATCCCCATGGATGGACGGGGTCAGAGCTGGCATGCCCACTGTAAACACTCTAGTCCCTGTGAGGGGAAGCAGGGATGAGGGGAAACTGGGATGACTCATCCTCACAGCTCCTTCTCGCCCTCCCCCACCCCACTCAGGACTTTTTCCATGTGGCTGGCGGGTGACACCAGCTCTGATGGAAAGCAGGGATAAGGGACAGTCAGTCCTGGGCAGCGAGATCTGAACCTGAGGGAGGGGAAGGGGAGGGGGCTCAGCCCAGGCCAGCAGACCAGTGGCAGCATAGGCTGCCAGGGCTCAGGGTGAAATCAGGTGGGGACACAGGTCCCTGTGTTGTGACTCGTGATCCCATGTGCTGGGGAGAGGGAGGGAGGTTGGACCCTGCCCACCCTGGTGCCCACCCTGGTTCCAGCCCTGGCTGCTCTATGCAGAGCACTGGGGCTGGAGGAGCCCTCGGGCTCCAGCGCAGCCCTCACAGGTGTCTGCAGCTCCCTCAGGAACCTCCAGGTGTTGGTTTAGGGTGTGCAGCTCCCACACGCCTGTTTATGGGTGGTTGTAGCCTGAGGATGGATCTTTCTGAGGTAAACGGCTCAGAAATGAGCCCTCAGTCCTGTTCACTCCTGCACGGCAGAGTTGACCGGAATTACAGCCATTCCCAAAAGCCGTCCCACAGCCGTTCCAAAGCTCCTCACCCCCCCGCTGCCGCCGGGCCATGCCAGCACCGGCTCCTCCTCATTCCACAGCTCAGCAGCCCAGAGCCCCTTGTTTGTGCAGAGCTCTGGAGTCCTGTGACTCTGCTGAGGAATTGCCTGGGAGCTGCCCAGGGCTGGGAGCACGGCCGGGAGCAGGGCCGGCTCTCCCTTGGGCAGCATTTGGGCAGGGCTGGCCATGGCCCCAGAGCAACGGCAGGGCTGAGCCCCCACCACGCTGAGGGGGCTTCCCAGTGCCCACCACTGGGCTCCAGCTGGTGCCACAGGCTCTCTGGGATGCCCTTGGCTGTGGAAAGCACAGCAGGGACCCACCTTAAGGGACCTTAAAGCTCATCCAGTCACCCTTTGCCATGGGCAGGGACACCTTCCACTATCCCAGACTGCCCCAAGCCGTGTCCAGCCTGGCCTTGGACGTTTTCAGGGATCCAGGGGCAGCCACAGCTTCTCTGGGCAACCTGTGCCAGGGCCTCACCACCCTCACAGCCAAGAATTCCTTCCTAATATCCCATCTATCCCTGCCCTCTGGCAGTGGGATGCCATTCTGTCTTGTCCTTGTCCCCAGTCCCTCTCCAGCTCTCCTGGAGCCCCTTTAGGCCCTGGAAGGGGCTCTCAGGTCTCCCTGTGGAGCCTTCTCTTTTCCAGGTGAACACCCCCAGCTCTCACCTGTATTTCAAGGGGCTCCAGCCCTCAGAGCCTTCCTGATGCTTTATCCCTCCCCTGTTTTGCCAGTGGTTGGAGTGCAAGTCCCAGTGCCCCTCATTCCCGCTCTTTGAGTGCTGGTGGTGCTCTCAGGGCTGTTGGGCCAGCAGAACTTCCAGTTCTCCCAGTACCCCGTCCCCCCTCATGGAGGCTGGAGAGCAGGGCTCGAGATTCCTTCACGAGTGTGCCAGGCTCATCCTGGCTGCAGTGGGGGCTGGAACTGGGGCCGTGGGTGCTCCCTGGGCCTGCCCCTCCCTGCACCCTGTCCAGGGCTGAGCAGGGGCTTGTCCGTGCTTCCTGTGCCCTCCATCCCCTTGGCAGGAGCTGTGCTGGCCTCCTTCCCAGGGGGAGCGTCCCACATCCTGTTTTTCCTCCCACCACCACCCACAGCTGCAGTGGGCTGGGGGCTGGTGGCACTGGGGGTGCAGGTGGTGCTGGAGCTGGTGGCACTGCTCTGACGTTGTCCCTGTCCCCTCACAGCTGCCCTACACGGAGCTGGAGAAGGTGAGTGGCATCGAGGAGGCCAAGCACTACCTGCGGCAGAAGCTGAGGGAGCTGCGCTTCTGAGGGATGGACCCGGGGGGGGGGGGGGGGGGGCCAGGTGGGTGCTGCCAGCCCCTTCCCCTGGGCAGGGGGATATGGAGCTGCCCCCCATCCTGGGGGGCCAGGGGGATATGGAGCTGCCCCCCGTCCTGGGGGGCCGGGCTGTGGGCCCAGGCTGTGGGCACCTGTTCCCACGGGGGCGGGGGCCTGTGAGATTATTTATTGCCGTTATGGGGGGCTGGGGTATGACTTGAGGGGTGCGGGGGGGTTGGTGCTGGGGGTGGGGGGAAGGTCCCTCATGGCCCCCCTGCAGTGGCTCTGCCACCCCAGTGTCGCTGCAGGGGCCAGGCCTGGGCTCCCCTCGGCACTGGGGGTGTCCCTGTGCCCCCAACAGCTGCCAGGAGGGGGTTTGGGCCTGGCCCCTCCCTGGGGTGCTGGGGGTCCTGCGGGGCTACAGCAGACCCCGCGCAGGGCTGGGAGCGGGTGTGCACAGGGGGCTGTTCCCAGGGCCTGGGCCAGGAGGAGGGGGGAGCTTGGGAAGGGGGGAACTTTCCAATAAAACTGGTGAAAAGTGTGCAAAGTCTGATCTCTTTATTAGTCGAAGGCAGCAGGGGGCCCCCGGCCCCCCCCGGGCTGGGCCCAGTACAGGGCAGTCCTGGCCCCCTCCCTGGCAGCCCCCCGGGGACCGCCCCCCCCCCTCGATGGGGGGGCACAGGGTCACCCTCCAGCCTCAGCCCCGTGCTGGGAATAAAGCTGTTTATTGCCATTGAGTTCCTGTTCCATGACCCCCGGGGGGCTCAGGTGACACCTGCGTGTCGGGCAGTAGCTGGGGGGCTGTGAGGGGCTGTGGGGGGACCTGCAGCGCTGCTGGGGGGCCAGGGGCCTCTGCCCCACGCCGTGGGCAGGAGGTGCCCGAGGGGGCTGTACCGTGAGGGGGGTCAGGGGCCTCGGCAGGGCAAGCCTGGGGCTGGTGTCTCTTTGGCAGGTGCCCCCCGAGGGCCCAGGGAGTGTGGGGGTCTGGCCACGCAGCTGCTGCCCCCGGCCCCGCGGTGCGGGGGTCTGGCTGTGCCCAGCCTCCACCACGGGCTGCTCACCGCTGGCACCATCACACGGGCATCGGCATCTCGTTGTACTCGTCCACACCTTCCCGCTCGTCCAGGATGGGCTCGGCCTCAGCCGCGTCCAGCTGCGGGACACGGCGGCTGAGGGGCAGCAAGGACCCCCTTGGCCCTGCCCACCCCGGGGGTCCAGCCCCCACTGCCCCCCAGGGACGACAGACACGGCCACTTACACATTTCATCTCCCGGTCGGTGAAGATGCGGCTGAGCAGGCACATGCGGAGCGGCACGGTGAGGATGAGGATGAAGGGGAAGGCCAGGGAGGCCACGGTGGACATGACGGCCCAGAGCACGGCCAGGCAGCCCAGCTGCAGCCCGGTGAAGAGGTGCATGCGCAGCGTGCGCACCTGGCACGGGCACGTGTCAGCGTGGGCCGGGCCCCTCGTCCCCCTCCCACCACGGGCACAGCCTGCCCAGGGGTACCCACACCCCAAACACGGCCCGTGGCCCTGCCAGGGTCTGGCTGCCCCCGAGGAACTGCCCTGGCCCCCTCTGCCCCCCTAAGCAAGGCTCTGCCAGAGCCTGCCCTGCGGACGCCCCAGTGCCCCCACCCACGGGTGCCCCAGGCTGGCTGCTGCCCCAGCCACGGGTCCTGCCCCCAGTGACTCTCCCCAGGGCCCCTCCCCACCTTTTTGACATAGGTGACGTCAGGGTGGTGCTTGGGGGGCATCAGCAGCAGCTGCAGGCGCTCGTAGAACTGGATGCCATTGAGGGAGGTGACACCCATGTAGAGGAAGATGCCGAAGAGCACAGCCAGCGGGATCTGCCGCAGCAGGTCCCCGATGACGATGGACAGCCCTGGGCCAGAGCAGGGTCAGCCTGGGCAGGGGGGTCAGCATAGCCCCCTCACCCTGCTCCACCCTCCCTGCTTGCCCCCATCACGTGGAGAAGGTTCCGCGTTCCTGCACCCACAGGGAACAGGACGGCCACGACGATTTGGCCAGGGCTCGGGGTGCTCCAGCTCCACTGCCCACACTGCCCCTGCACAGCCACAGCCCCCTAAGGCTCCCCAACCCCTCCCCCTGCTGCCCTCACACCACCGCAGCATCCCGGCTTCCCCCAGGGCCAGACCTACCAACGAGCACGGCCACCAGCAGCCCAGTGACCCGCTGCTCCTTCACCTCCTGGATCTTTGGCTTGTCCCCGGGTGCCACGGCCTTGCTCATGACGGTGAGGGCATTGGCGTGGGTGACCGAGCGCACGGTGGCCGCGGCCAGCCAGGGCAGCCCAAAGAGTGCAAAGAAGCCACCCATGGCCACGATGAGCAGGAGGTCGAGGTGGAACCCGGAGCCCTTCTGCAGCATCCGCTCCTTCTTGCTGATGATCAGCCTGGGCACAAGGGCAGATGGTTGGCACAGCTTCCCTCGGCCACACGGATGACCCCACCCAGCCCTGCTGCGCTCACGTCGTGATCTGGGTCTCCATGAAGATGAGGATGAAGACGAGGACGGCAGGGAGGCCACTGGCCACCATCATCCACACGGGGAAGTCGCTATGCTCACCCAGGGGGTTGATCACCCAGCCCCGCTTGTCCGGGGCCGTGACTGAGAACCCGCTGGGCACACTCAGCTTCTGCAGGGGGAGAGAGAGGCTGGGTGGGAGTGCTGGCTGTGCCCCCCAGGGCGAGGGGGGGCACAGAGTCACCCCTCACAGTAGCTGGACTTGAAGAGAGATGGAAGGTAAGACACTGGGAGCTGGAGGCAGCTGAGTGGGCACAGCCATAGCGGGGACAGAGGGAGCCACTGACCCACACCCGGGACAGAGGGAAAGGGCACAGGGACCCTGCAGGAGGAGGAGGGGGGGCCCTGCCCAAGGGGTGGGTGGGTGCTGACCTGTGTGTAGGTGTCCTGGATGCTGTAGTCCACCAGCACCATCACCAGGATGGCGATGGGCACCCCAAAGTCCCCGATGAGCCGCCGGATCTGGGGGAACGGTCTGACCTCAGCCTCCTGCCTGCCCCCCCCGCTCACCCCAGTCCCCCTGGGCTCACTCCAGCCCCCCAGGCCCCTGGCTCAGCCCACTCTCCCCCCAGCTCAGCTCAGCCCAGCCCCACAGCCGCCCCACGGCCCCACGCACCCGTCCGGGGAAGAAGCGGCTGTTCTTGAACTTGCGCAGGAAGAAGGCGATGAAGAAGGTGCCGGCCATGAGCACAAGCGAGAGCAGCGCCGTGTTGGGCTGCCCCGTGACCTTGGCAGTGCCACGGGCGGCAGTGCCGGTGGCCGGGGCGGTGCCGTTGGCTGTGGCCACGCTGCCGTTGCCCCAGGCCTCGGCCGAGCCGTTGGCGGGCAGGCAGCCGTGCAGCGGGTGCTCCTGGAAGATCTGCAGCAGCAGGACGGGATGGGACACTCAGCACCACATCCTGCCCAGCCACCCTGCAGTCCCTGGCCCCACCAGCTCACCTTGGCCAGCTTGGAGAAGGTCTCATAGATGAAGATGAGGGAGATGAGGAAGGCAAAGATCTCCTGGGTGAAGCGGGAGACAAAGCGCACCAGGAAGCTGCCCTCGAAGGCCACCATGACCAGCACGATGAGGATGAGCCAGAAGCCGATCCAGACACGCCCCACCAGGTACTCCAGCTCATTGGACGTGCAGAACTGCCCAGCCGCGGGGACAGACGGATGGACAGATGAGTGTCGGGATGGCCACAGGGCTGGGTAGGGGCCCGGCAGTGGGGCCAGGGGCAACCCCCACCCCCTCACCGTGAAAAAGGCCTCCTCAAAGACGAGCAGCGGCCCCGAGAAGCCGATGACAAGCAAGGGTTGGGCGCCCAGCAGGCAAAAAAGGACGCCCTGCAGCGACGTGGAGATGATCAGCTCCGACACCCCGATCAGGTCCTGTGTCTTCTCCCCTGCGGCAGGACAGGCTCAGGCACACCAGGCTCAGGCACACCAGGCTCAGGCACACCAGGCTCAGGCACACTGGCAGGACCGGCCTCTCGGCCCGAGACATGGCCCCGCCCCAGGTCCCTGACCCGCTGCATCCTGCAGCACACACGGGGCAGCACCCGGCAGCTCTGCAGCCCCCCATGACCCCACCACCCCTCACTGCCCTCCACAGCCCCCCACTCCCCCCGCACCCCCTGCACTCACCCAGCAGCCCCCCAAAGGTGATAGCTGGTGACAGTGCAGCAAAGTAGATGAAGATGACGGCGGCGATGCACTGGGGGTCCAGCGCGTCGCGGAAGTCGCTCAGGTAGTGGGGGTACCTCCGCCGCACATCCCGGATCAGCCCCCCAAAGGGCCGCCCCGTGCGCCTCAGGGGGTCGTCGTCCTCTTCGACCTCATCCTCCACCACCTTCAGCTTCAGCAGTGCTGGGGGCAGACACACAGACGGATGGACGGTGAGACCCCAACAGCTGAGACCCCCCCACTGAACCCTGCCCCAGGTACCTTTCTCCTCAGGGGACTTGGGCTCCAGCAGCAGCCTCCGTTCCTGCTCCATCCTCTTCTTCAGCATCTCGCGCTGGAAGTGGGCGACGCTGCGCAGCAGCTCCTCGCCCTGCACCTCGCTGGGCGGCAGCACCACGCTGCAGTCCAGGAACTCGTTGATGGCGTTCAGCAGGTCGTGCCGGTCGTCGGCCAGGTATGCGGCCTCATGGAATTGCTGGGGGGGAAACGGTCGGGTCAGTGCCCACCCCACAGCACTGCAGTGCCCTGAGACCACAGCACAGCACAGCCCCCAGCCCACAGCCCCAGCACAGCCCCCAGCCCACAGCCCTGGCACAGCCCTGAACCCCCATCCTGGCACAGCCCACAGCCCACAGCCTCAGCACAGCCCACAGCCCCAGCACAGCCCACAGCCCCAGCACAGCCCCCAGCCCACAGCCTCAGCACAGCCCTGAGCCCCCATCCTGGCACAGCCCACAGCCCACAGCCTCAGCACAGCCCTGAGCCCCCATCCTGGCACAGCCACGAGATGCCCACTCAGCACAGCCCTGAGACCCCTGGCCCCAACAGGACACCCAGTTCCCAATCCTGGCACGGCTCTGAGGCCCTGGTCCCAGCACAACCTGAGCCTCCCACCCCATCCCATTCCGGCCCTGAGCCCCCACCCCAGCATGGTCCTGAGCCCCCCATCCCAGCACATCCCTGAGCCCCCCGCCCCCCGATGCCCCATGGACCTTGTCAGACATGAGTGTGGAGATGGATCGCCCTATCTCGTGATAGTCCATGTGGGTGCTGCTGGGGCCCAGCAGCACGAAGAGGAACCGCACGGGCACGGGCACCTCCAGCACCGCGTCCAGCTCCACGGCCTCCTGCAGCCGCACAAAGGCCATGGTGGGCTGGTCCAGGAACTCCACACAGCCTGGGGGGCACAGAGGTCAGTCAAGGGCCCAACACACTCTCCCCACCCCTCTGCCCTGCCCACCCCT